TGTCACTACCTATTTGACTAATTCAGAGGAGAAAAAAATCACAGTTCAAATAGAGGGTATGCTTCATAAAGTTAGTGCAAGAATGGAATAGAAAGAGAATAGAATTTTTCACAAATTTTTAAAACCACTTTCTGCTCCTGTGAAGACTTAAAACATCAGAAACCCTATACAGGGTTGCTATGATTTGGAACTGACTCATTGACAACAACAACAACATAACAATTTAAAGTAAAAATATTTTTGTGAACTGTGGGTTATTTTTATTCATTATAGTTACAAATAACATGATATCTATTTCCTTTGGGACTGAGAGTTTTAAATATTTTTTTGTTTGTTTTCAGAATTCACAAGTGTTCCTGAATGATAAATTGTTAATATATGCAAGTTACTTTCTGTCTCTCTCTCTTTTTTTAATTCCTGGGAGAATAATTGAAATAAAACACTTTTTAGAATACTGTGAAAAATGATCACGTTGTAAATATGAGGTTTATATTCATCTATTATTTTTTGTTACCTTTTAACCGAAAAGTAAAAGTCTATGAACTGATGAGACTAAATCTAACTGATGAGAAGTAAAAGTATATGAACAACCTGGGTGATGACACATAGGTTATTTAGTTTTGATAATGAAAATAGAGTCTTCTTGAGAAATGAATTCATTAAGAGTAAGTTGGAATTTTTTATCATTTAGAAATAGAATTTTTAAATATTCTGTTTCTAAAATAGAAGTAGAATTTTCAAAAAATTCCATCAGGTCTAAAGCCACCTAAAACTCGTGTCTTTTAAATGCATTGTAACTTATTTTTAACATGTATTATTTTAGGTAGTATATTTTCCTGTGTCATTTCACAAGATTAGAAAACATATTATTTTTTTCTCTGTATTTTCCTATATTTCTAGAAAGAGTGCTAATTAGTGAAAGATTCGTTTCAGAAAAAAAAAAAAATATATATATATACACACACACACACACACACACACACACACGTATGTTTTTATACACAAAGGTAGTCCTTGACTTACAGTGCATTCCAATTACTGAGAACCACACTGGATAGAGAACACCAACCATCACTCCCACAGCCTTCTATTTACCTGCTTCGGTAATTCATTGCAGTGACCACACAGAACTCACATACTCACTGTCAATGGTGGTTATTAGGGAACTTAACAGGTTACAATGCAGGATCAGAAAATGTTCAGAATCCATGTTTTTGTAAGAACAGCTTCTTTCTGTGCTTAGAGGTCGGCATCTCTCTGACCCTCAGTCCCTTGTCCTAGCATTGTTACAAAGCTCTTTCATATGCTGCTGATAGAGAATTGTAATCTTTGAAATGAAACTAAGTACAATAGGATGAATGTAAAGATAATGTTCTTCCATGTAAACTAACACATAATTCACAATAAAACTTAAAAAAAAATAATGCTGCTAATAAATGCTGATTAAAGCTCTACTTAGTGGTTAGAAGTGGGGCTGCTAACCTCAAGGTCAGCAGTTCGAAACTACCAGCAGATCCACAGGAGAAAGATGAGGCTTTCTGCTCCCGTAAAGATTTACAGCCTTAGAAAACCTTTGCAGAGTCAGAACCCACTCCACAGCACATAGCCACCACCACCACTTCCTATAAGCCTCAGCCTGAAGGTGATCAGCTCTAGCTCAGTGGATCAGCAAATTTAGTTACCCAATTAGTGCCTGGAGGTATCTTATTCCACAAGTGATTCTCTTGCCCGGAGGCACTCAGCTTTACTTTTCTCTAATAGCCAGGAAGTCCAGGACTCTGCCTCATTTTCTGGCTCTTGTTTCTGCTGCTGCTGCCCCTCTGCCACTCCTCTGCTATGCCTCTGGTGTCACAGCTTTTTGTTCCTTGGTTGAGGACCTTCAATGCACAGGGACATTAGGGTCCAAAGGATATGCTCCACTCCTGGATCTTCTTCCTTGGTAGTGGTGAGATCCCAGCAGGAAAAGGTAATGTCTTGTTAGTAATATATACTACATACAATGCTGCAGGGTATAATTTGCTGATGTCATCATTCTCAGATATAATGTTTCTAACCCCCAAAGACAATGAAGATCAGATTATTATTACTGATAATAAAAGGAAATAATAATGAAAACTGAAAAAAAACCCAACAACAACAGAGATTTGAGTTACATTAGAACTGACTTACAAGTAAGTCATCATCAGAATGGAACTCTATAGCAAGTTTAGGACTACCTCTAGTAACTTCAGAGCCTGATGCTTTTTTCAGAGGTTCTGTGGGTTCAGTTCTAGACCACTACAATGAAGCAAGTATTGCAATAAGCAAGTCACATAAACCTTCTAGTGCATATCAAAATTATGGATATATTGTCTATTAAGTGTGCAGTAGTATTATGAAAAAATTTTTTAAATATGAGAATTACCAAAATGTTGCACAATGACATGAACTGAGCACACGCTATAGAAAAAACTGCCAGTATACTTGCAGGTTTGTTACAGACTTTCAGTTTGTAAAATCACAGTGTCTGCAAAGCAAAACCAAGTGAAGTATAATAAAATGAGGTTTGTCTGTATAGACCTAGAAAGGTGACAGCTGGAAAGAAATTTTGGGGCTTCAGTTCTCTGCCTCTATTTTATAACGACAACAAGCTGTGTTAAACATTTTTAAAAAACACAAGCCAATTTGTTTGGAGAACATAATCTGTTTTAGGGTTTGTTTGTTTGTGCTTACCAGACAGTCTCTGAGTAGCCACTGGGCCTTTGTTTCTTATTTTGACTTTTGCATGTGCAATTTGGCAATTTAAAATCACTATTGACTATTATATTTGGAACTGAATATGCTGCTTACCAATTTGTATTGTTGTTATTAGGTGCCGTTGAGTCCATTCCAACCCATAGCGACCCTGTATAGTGTTTCTGAGGAGCGGCTGGTGAGCTTGAACCACACCAGCTTTACACTTCAAACCAACTTTACAGTCCAGCTCATGAACCTACAGTGTCACACCAGGACTCCAATAGTATTAGAATTATTTAGGTCTTTTTTTTTTTCAGCATTTGAGCTGCTTTATAGCTATGTCTTGGTAGTGGCACTGTGGGTTAATGCGCCAGACTGCAAAGCCATTTGACCTGTAACGTTGGTGGTTCAAGCTCACCAGTTGCTCCTCAGAAACCCTATACAGGGTCGCTATGGGTTGGAACTGACTCGATGGCACTTAGTAACACCAACAATAGCTATAAGAGGAACACTAGTGGTGTAGTGGGTTAAGCATTCTGCTGCTAACCACAAGTTGCATTCCAAGGGAGAAAGATGAGATTGTCTGCTCCCATAAAGATTTTCAAATTCTTAGGAACCCTAAGGAGCAGTGTGGTGTTGTAGGATAAGCAATGCCAGTGGTTCACATCCACCAGTTGCTTTTCAGAAACCCTACACAGGGTCATTATGAGTTAAAACTGACTCAACGGCTCTTAACAACAACGAGTCGTTATCAACTCAATAGCAATGAGTATAGCAGATTAATAACTAAGAAAGAAGCCTTGGTGGTACAGTGGGTTAAGCATTAGACTGCTAAGTGAAAGGTTAGTGGTTTGAATCAGCTGTTGTGTTGTCTGCGTCTGTAAAAATTTATAACCTTAGTAATCCTATGGAACAGTTCTACTCTGCCCAATAGTGTTGCTGAGAATTGAAATTGATTGGATGGTGCAGTGGGTTTGGTTTTGGAATAACCGATGTTCAGTAGCCTAAGAGTTGTATCATTTTCATATTTCCTTGCATATTATCTTTCAAAGTTACAGATTTGTAACTAGAGGATAGTTTTAGTACTCTGACTTTGTAAAGATTCTTGTTAAGTGTGACTCACAGTGACTAACCTTTAGGTTAGCAGTCCAGTGCTTACCGTATAGTGTCACACCAAAACTGAAATTTAATGACATTAAAATTAAATTAGCTATTAATTTTAGTTTTTCTATTAACAAAGAAGAATATTATTTCCAAGGTTTTTTTTCATTTCTAAACAGGC